TCAAATGAATTGTTGTTTTGATTGTGTTTTGGATTTATTTGTGTTTTAATTGCAATTAAATTAGTGCTCAAAATGAGTGAAACTTTTGTGGATTTATCGCAATTAAGTCGCGAAGAGTTGTATTCATTAGTGAATGCATTGAAAGTTTGTATTTTAACCAGAATATATTGACCATTGCCACATGTGGTAGAAATGTAGTAGTAAAACGTCCAGGTTTAGTATAAAGTGATCGGGTGGGAATCGTTTTGTACATTTCTCCCCCTATATCCTCCCGGTTTTCCTACACGATGTGGTATTCGAGTATATGAAGTGATTTTAACTCAAAACTAAATTATTGAATAATTGTGGATTAATTACAAACTATGTGACATAAACTGTATATACTATATACAGATTTAACAAATTTTATGCGTCTAAACAGTGTGTGAAACTCATTTAATATCAAAAAGTTATTTACCAAATATTAAGTGATATATAACTTATTATAACTCATATTAACGTGAATAATAATAATTTTATAAATATCAAGCACAATTAAGTTTGATAATGTGTTCAATTTTAGAGAAGTTTAGTATTTGTGATAAAATCGACGCAAATATGAAACAAAACATTAAATTATTTCATGTTTTCGTTTACTCGAAGGGAAGTAATATTCTGTTCGTAACCACCGATGATATGGTGCATGGATTGGGAAATAATAATTATGGATGTCTTGGATTGGATCACAACGAGTCCATACAATCACCACAAGTTATACCAGAATTATGTCATCAAAACATTCACACATTTATTATTGGATCAGACTTTGTGTTGGCTATGAATAGTGTGAACCATATCTATAGCTGGGGTTATAATATATGGGGACAGTTGGGTAGAGGTGTGACACCAGAAGAGGATTATTCAAAACCCAAGAGAATATCGTATTTCGACGACAAAGATGTCCAACAAATCAGTTGCGGTTTCCAACACTCACTGGCCCTCACATCCAGTGGACAGGTGTATGGGTGGGGACGCAATTGGGAGGGACAGATTGGTTGTGGAAACCAAATAAATGCTATTATTAGTGAACCAATTCTAATACAATTCCCTAATAATCCCAAAATCCAAAACATTTATTGCTATAGATGTTGTTCATTTGCCATCACTTGTGAGGGATTTGTGTTCAGTTGGGGTGACAATCGTTACCACCAATTGGGATACAATATTATGAACAAACTCAACGAATATACATTTAGTCCGAAACCCATACTAACTATAAATGGCATCAAAACTATTACTTCATCACAATATATGACTTATTTTATCATAAACAGTGGTTTCATATATTTGTGTGGGCAATATTATTTAAAACGTGAAACTATTATTGTAAAGATACCAGAACAATTAAGATACAGCAATTACTTTATAGAATTACCACAAATTGACTCGTATTGTGGTTTTGATATTAAATTCCCAGTTGTGTTGACAAACAGCAAGTTATATGAAATAAGCGGAAATCAATTGATTGAAACAATATATAAAAATTTTATTGATTTCTACGCCAATGAATACCAGATTACATACAAAACTTTGAACATGCGGAACGGCACTGATTATAAAACTTTGTTTAATGAATGCTATGACAATACATTTGATGAGTTGGGAGTTATAGGATTGGGTGGTTTTGGGACAGTATTGCGAGTGAAACACAAGTCTCATGGACAGGTATATGCCGTCAAACGCATTCAAATTAATGGTAATTTTAAACAGAATTTAATTGTAAAATAAATTTTTAATTTACAAATTTTATATAAATATTCAGATTTTGATGAAAAAGAAGTGCAAAATCTGGTGAATGTTAGATCAGAATATGTGGTCAGATATTACCACTCATGGCGTGAACCGGATTTTGGTTACATTCAGATGGAGTTGTGTTCCCATAGTCTGAAGAATATTCTTGAACTCAAAGCACAAGTATTTGAGAGACAATCGGGAGATCCCATGGATTGTATCGAGTATTTCATTTCGTGTGAAATATTCCGTCAGATCTTAGAAGCCGTGCAATACTTGCATGAATTGGACCCTAAGATCATTCACAGAGACCTCAAACCCGACAACATATTGATTGACACGAATGCAGGGAACGACAGATTTGTGAAGTTATGTGACTTCGGTTTGGCTACAGTTCACGACAAACGCATTCACTACAGGACTACACAAAAACATACGGCAGATGTGGGAGACCTACACTATATCGCACCGGAAGTATCTCAGGGGAAGAAGTATAACCAGAAGTGCGATGTCTATGCCGTCGGACTAATTGGTGGCAAACTATTTGACATTAATGTCGAAGAAATTGATCAAGACAAGTATTTATGTGTGAGATTATTTGTAATATTTCTAATTATTTAATTTATATAATAATAGTCCGAAAGACTACTCAACAACACATACTGTTCTAAACGCACCGGTATTACAGTTGCAAACTATATTGGATTCAATGGACTGCGGCATCAAATGGCATAAAAGGCCGGACTGTAGGCAAGTGTTGGGTAAATACAAAGACTGGTCCGTGGATTGTAATATTGTGGTAACTGATCCGGGTTATGAGCTAACATTAAATAGACTTAAATGCAATGAAAATCAATTTTTCTATAAATTCTTGACAACTATTATCACACGAGATGTGACACCAGTTTCTGTTATCAGACCACACGTGACACCACTTTCATTGACACAATGACTACGAAAAAGCTTAAAATTATTTTAAAAACAATTGATTTTATAATTTTTCATTTAATAGACAAATTTGTTTGTAATAATCAGTGCTAATCCATAACTCATACGAATATATTATAATAGAGTTTATAAAATTATCAAATTCAAAATATTTACATCTATGAACATTATGTATTGAATATAAAGGTATTTTTATTATTCAAAAAAAATCTAAAAATATTGTTTTGTAAACTTTGATATCATATGAATAAACAAAAAAAGTTTTTTAATATCTGAGAAAATGTGAAACAAGTCATCCAAAGTCGCCGACAATTGTCTTAATAATGATTATAATTATCTGAAAGTGTCTTAAAGTTTGTGTCAAAGACTACCAACTCTTTGGTCATCCCTTTATCGCAGTCTTCGTGAGCGCTGCAAACGTTTGGCCGCTTTTTACGATTTTTGTCCACAATTTGTGTCCTCATTAGCACCGGAATCATCTGAATCCTCATCGCTTTCATCATCCGGTTCTTCATTGCCATCACTTCCAGCGGATTTCAGCCCTCGCTTACCACTCGATGTCTTGAATGTCAGCAAACAGTCTGTCGTTTGCATCGATCACTCAAATGCTAATCAAAAGAGTTATGAAAAGAGTTTAAAACACTTAACAAAAGTTTTCCGCTGAGCACCGGATGTCTTATACGGGACACCGATTTTTTTGTGATTACAAGCACTGCACGAAACACTACTCACTCTGGGGCGCGCTTCGAGAGCACATGAGTACCGGTAATCACGTGTCGGGACAGCCCTTCCAGTGCTGACACAAGGGATGCCATTACACGACGCCATCGAAAGAGGATTTTGTGAGACACATGTCAGACACAGACAGTCATCGCATGGATGAGCCGATAGTCGACACCTCCAGCGGACGGTATGCCTGCGATTGGATCGGCTGTCAGACGACATGTATTGATAGAAAGACATTACATAAGAAGCGACACAATTCCTGTGGGAGCTATCGGTGCGATCGGGAGGGCTGTGCGCAGGGGTTCAGAGTTGCTAACGGTCTTCGGTTATATAAACTGAGAGTACACGACACGACCTACCGGTGCGATTAGGGGGGGGGGTGTCAGTAAGCCACGGGTTTGCCGTCTTATCTGAGAATACATCAAAAGAAGCTCAGGTGAGGACAGTCTGTTTGAAGGCATACATGAGCCGCACATATAATACACTTATTTGTTATTAATTGTAACAAATTTACTAAATTGTAAATTGTATTCACATTATATTCAGTATTTATTTATTAATATAATGTCTTTAATACTGTATTAAAAGTTTTTGATTGCATTTTGTTTTGACATTTCCTATGAAATGGTTTTTCACACAAACATTAAATGTCGCGGTTTTTCGCCCATATATTGTGTGCTTATCACGTGATTTGTGTTTATGTTTTGGTTTTCATTGAATGAAAGGTTTGTTTAGTTTTTTTGGGAATAAATTGTGTTTTAATTGCAATTAAATTAGTGCTCAAAATGAGTGAAACTTTTGCGGATTTATTGCAATTAAGTCGCGAAGAGTTGTATTCATTAGTGAATGCATTGAAACGTCAAATCAATTGT